GGGGGGGGGGGGGGGGGGGAAGAAGAAAAAGAAAAGAAAAGAAAAGAAGAAAAAGAAAAGAAAAGAAAACGAGAAAACGGGATCAATTTTTTTTTTTAATTTGTATTTTATGGTTTGTGCCAAGATGTTTTTTGTGGCGTAAAACAATTTTGGCGGCCTTGATTTTTTTTATTTTTTTTATGTAGGTAGCCAGGCACCTAGGCCATGCATGTGAATTTTTTCAGATTTTTTATTGGGCGAATATTTTTCTAAAAATCATCAAAGTCGGGGTACTTTTTGCACCCCACTCTGAGCCTGTCAGGATTTGAACTCGTGAATTTTCACGAGTTGTTTCCCTACCTCTCCCAACCTGCAACTGCCCTCCCCGTTTTCAGGGAAGGGCAGAGTAAATGGTGGGAGGGTTGTTGGTTTCAACAATATGAACCTGGCCAACATAAGGGTCAAGCGCGTTATAGTTGAAGTTAGTTTTCTTTTTATTTTTCTTTTGTTTTTTTTGTTTTGTTTTGTTTTTTTTTTTGTTTTTTTTTCTTTTGTTTTTTTTTCTTTTATTCTCGTGAGCTGTGTAGCATCGTGTTCGGGCTCGGTGACCGAACCCGAACGTTCGGGACCGAACCCGAACGTTCGGGACCGAACGCGAACAAGCGCCGAAACTCTTCGAATGCGAACATAAAAATATTAAAAAAAAAAAAAAAGAGTTCTCCGAAAAATCTGAAAAAATATATGTTATGTAAAATAATAATACAAACAACTTTTTTCCGGGAGGTATGTTAAAAATCAAAAACTAAATATGTTCGGCCGAACACGTTCGGGAGGCGTTCGGTCATACACCCGAACATGTTCGGACGTTCGGAAAAACTCCGAACATGTTCGGTGTGCTACACAGATCGTGAGGACACTTGTCCTCACGAGGTGTTACCTCTGGTAGAAGCTGCCAGAGGTAACTGTCAGGCTCCCGTTTCTAGAGGGAGCCTAGAAATTGAGGGGTCATAAAGGAAAAGGCTAAGTACAACCTTTTCCCCGACGTATCTGCCCTGGAAAACGGGTCCAGATACATTAAAATGAAAGGAGTTGTATCTTTCCAACCCCTTATCGGAAAAATAAAAGAAAAGCACATTTGGAAATGACAAAAGCTCAGCTATCTCGTGAAATTCCGAGATAGCTGAGATAAAGAAAAAAAAAAAAAAAATGAGGCAGTTGCGGGAACTGCCCCCACTAAGGTTGTGGTTGTCGTGAGGCTACAGTTAACCTTTGATCTTGGACAGATCAAGGGCTCACTGTGAGCACGCGATTTTGCCTGGGGGCTGGAGTGACGACCAACACTCCTCAGCCACTATAAGAAAGGCAGTTGTCCCCAGCTGCCACACAGAAGCACTCGTGCTGCCAGTGTGTGACAACACACTTGAGTGTCGCCGGGCTGCTGGAGGAGTTGTTGGAGGCAGCGCTAGAGGAGGTTGGAGGACTGCAAAAGAGCGCCAGACAAGGAGGAGGACAGCCATAGCCGAGGCAGGGAGCACTCTGCTCCATCCTAAGGTTTGTGTTGGGCCTTTGGGACAATTCTTGGGACCGCGCTGCTGGACCGGGACTGTGCGGCAAGAGCTGTACTTTGGGCCTAGATTTTATTGAGGTCCAAAGCCTTATTAATTTGACGGTGGGACTTCCTTTGCAGTGGCAGGC